ATCTTAGGTGTCACATGTTGCAAGCTGAGAGTGAAGAGAGCTATGACTCCTGGATCAGTGCACTCCAGCGGGGCATTGGTCAGGCCCTCCAGCAGGGTCTGCATGACAAAATTACCAACTCAACTCCAGACTCCTCTCCATACCCCCAAAAGGGATCCCAAGGCACCAACACACCAGGAGACTCTCCAGCCTCCTCATCACCCGCGACTACACCCCAGGCACCCACGGCAAACAAGGCTATGTGAGACACAGTGTTTTTGTAACATCCACTGTGAAATAGCATTGCTGTTGTTAGTCTTTGTTGTTCAAAAAGACCATTAGTTTTTTCCTTCCTTCTTTTTTTTCCCTCAAGTTTGCCATACACTATTTTGTCATGGTTATATTTTATATATAAGCTATCCCTTTTACTCCTGAAGGTTATGGCAGGAAATAATGAGGATTCCTGGAAATGAAGTTTGTTGTGACTGTGGGGCTTCTAACCCAAAATGGGCATCAATCAACTTAGGAATAACTCTGTGTATTGGTAAGTTTTTATTGTTATTAATGTTGTATTAACCTGCCTATGCCCGTGATTATAGTAAGAATACATTATAGAAAAAAAAAATCAAATTATTTAAATGACCTTAATGCGTTTCTTCCATTGCAGAGTGTTCGGGGATTCACCGCAGCCTTGGGGTGCATTACTCAAAAGTACGGTCACTCACATTAGATGCTTGGGAGCCTGAAGTGATAAAAGTGATGATAGAACTAGGTAATACAGTCATTAATCAAATATACCTAGCCACATATGCACCAGGAGGAGAGACTGGTCCACCTTTTGCTGCAAAGCCAGACAGTATAAGGTAAATGCATTTCTTTCTTTCTTTCTTTCTTTTTATGAACTTACCAGGCTGAAAATATTTACTCTTTTAAGATCAAAAAGCAGAATTGTGAGTATAGATTCTCTCCAGCAGACATTAGGATTAGGTTCTAGAAAAAAGTTACCAAATTGTGTTAAGTTGGCCAGCCTTTTTAAGATATATTATCTGACTTTACCGCATTTACACTTGAAGGTGCACGTCTAGTCATAACACCTTATTCATATTTTTACTTTACCTCATAGTTTGTACATATCTGTATAATCTTTTGTATTGGTAAATCTAGTATTAAGAAAATCATAATTAAAGACGTTTTCTTGCATTTTTCCAACTGAGAATAGAAGTAATTTAATGAGATCTTATGTAATCTTCTGTCCCAAAGGTCAGTGCGTGAAGAATGGGTGAAAGCAAAGTATGTTGAGCGAAAGTTTGTAAAACCACTTCCTTTGGCTTCCTCTGGTTCCACATACTCCCTTCCAGCTCCAAAGTCTCAGGTATGTCTGCTGTAACTTGTTTTATAATGATTTTGCATTAGTATAGCCTATTTTATGCAGAGTCAGTTAAATCTCCTGGTCTCCTTTCTCTGCAGTTGCCTAGTAAGAAATCATGGAGTGTTCCAAGAAAGAGGCGTCGCAACAAGAGAAGGAGTATTGGAAGTTCAACCCCAAGCAAAGGGTCCAGTGCTTCTAGTCAGCAAGATCAAACGTCTACCCAAGAAGAATCTCAAACCATTACTCAATCTAAGTCTTTGTACGTTCCCAGGTTGTTTCCTCTACATGAACGTGGTAGAGATTTATACTAAGTTTTGTTTTATCATATAGTCATTGTATCAGCATCTTTTTTCATCACATTTGATCACTAAAGGAGATAATTGCCAACTCCCACAGGCCCACAACCCCAGCAGCCGAGACCCTTTCTCCAGGGGAAGTCCTACTCCTTGATGTCGACATACCTTGCACCCATCGAGACTCATTGGAATTACAGGATCTCTCAATCTTAAGTGATGACAACTCAACAGATGGAGAAGATGCAGATGGACATGGTACTTCTTTTTGTGTGTGTGTGTGTGTGTGTGTGTGTGCGTGCGCGTGTGTGCAGATGTGCACGCTTCACTTTTGTATCTAGAATGTTATCTTGTATACTTTACATTTTCTTTAATGGTACATCATTTGATTGTATAATCTTTAGTCACTTTCAATACATTGATGATGATTATCATACAAATTACAGTTATAAATGCACTGAATACTGGGTCACACTTGTGACACCTCTCTTTAACTACTGCCAGTCATAAAAATGTGAGAGTCTATAGTATGCATAACATAGAGCAGCTTCCATTGTCATTGCATGTATAAATACCATTTGGTATGTTAGCCTTCTGTGCCTTTTCATTTTTCCCATCCATAAAGTTTCTCATAAAACATGCCCCTGTATGTGGACCCATGAGTGCTGTGAATAAACTGGCACAGCAGCCTGCATGCTACCATCATTTTAATACCTATTGCCCATAGGCTATTTCATTAACATATAAAATCGGTAGGTCTTATTCTCACTTCCATGATCCTTATCCTATGTATTATTCTATATATATGTTTTCTCTATATTTTCTTTCTCTTTCTTTTTTCTTGACCCTCCCCCCCCCT